AAATGTTCAATACCTCAATTATATTCATCACCCCCTAACAAGAGTTCCCGTGTTCCAGAGAATGGGCAAAGCGATTCAAATGCAAAGGTAAGGAGCTACTGGCAGGCTTGAAACAGACAGAGGTAAAAAGTTACTGACAACAAAGGAGACGGGCAGTGGTCACAGGCAGAGATGGCTTTGCCAGGGACCTGGTTCTGATATACTTCAGTGGTGTGGAAGCGCTCCATGCTTCTTATTGGAATGTTCTGGGTTAGTTTCTGGGATGTATTGAACTGTCCGACAGCTAGTATCAGTTTTCAACAGAAGACAAAAATCAAACAAACAAAAAAACAGGTTCTGAGATGCCATTCTAGATTCTGACCCAGAGAAGAATTGAGTATCATCCCTTATTCTCAAAATCTTCTAGAAAATACTAGGTAGAAATTCATGATCCTGCACACCCCAAGAAAGCCCAGTGTCCTTACACTGTGACAAGCCTGCCTCTGGGAGGTAGCAGGTGCAGGGAGGCAGCTGTGTTGTCCCTGTACCAGCTCTGCTATTGTTGCTTTTGAGTGGTACTCCTTCAGTAATAAGGAAGCCCACCTTAAATGTTGTTGACAAGGCTAAGAAGACAGCGTGCAATTTGTAAAGCACAGGAGTGGAGGCAAAGCGGTGTATGGCGTTGAAGAGAGGACTCCTAGTATTCAGTCGCCCGTAGGGGAGAAGCTTTGAAGGCCATTCCCACAGAACAAGGGAGATGCTGCTATGTTGCCACTGCTGGCCAGCTGTCCTGGCCTTCATTGGTCCTGTACGCCATGGAGACATGGGGCAGGACGAGCAAGGCAGGGAGAAACTAGAATTCCAACTTCCAGCCCAGTGATAGATGATTCATCCCTCAATCCTCATGTCAGCTCCCATTTGTGCGGTTCTCATCTTTATTTCATGAATATTTCATTCTCAGAGCGATGATTCCACATCCCCCATAAATCTCGCAAGTGGCTCTTTACTGCGTCCCCAAGAGCTTGGTGCACTCACCTGCATTGGGTAACACATAATTGTCTGATTCCTCAGGAAAAATATGAGCTCAAATGCGCATGAATATTAAGAGGTTCAATGCACATTACAACCCTTCCCCAAAAAGGTGTCTAAACTCGGAAGACATCACAGCACAAGCCGTTAAACACAGCTTGGGCTCCACCCAAAGACAGCTTTTTCAGCTCTTAAGAAATATAGACGGTATCCCAAAATGAAACATTCCAAGAGTTTCCAGCCAGCCTCGCCTAATTGCAAGGCTGCTCCATAAAACATGGAACAGCAGCAATGTGAAGGGGATCTAAATTAAATACCTTCATTATTTCACCACGGTTTTAAAGATATAATTCTAAAGTATTGCCATCTCACGTCCATCCTCTGGTCATAGTGATGAGGTTCAAACCCCTTGCCCTGGCATTGAGATATTGGAAATAGACCCATGCTCCTTCCTCGGGCTCTTCTATTGGCATTTCCTTCCTGTCCTTACTTCCTGTTACCTTTGTTCAGCTTGTCTAAAATACAACTTTTCATCTCATCTCCAATTCAATGATTTTTTACTGGTTTCTCAAGTCTCCACACTCATCTCCTCAAACCCCAAGAATATTTACTAATCACTATACACCATAACCCCCAGCTACCCCACCATGTGCTGGCTAGGCCGGGCCCGCTCTGTGCTGTAGTGGTTCTTACTGCTTAGGTCAGGATAGCCCAATCTCCATGATGGAGACCGGTGAGTTGTGCTGTAGTTGCCCAGGGGGTAAGAAGTACCCTTGAAGGGAAGAAAGGGCTCCACATGGACATTATTGTTAACAGAAGCAAAGAAGGGAGTGTTATAAACTTCCTCTGAAAGTTGAGAACCTATAAAACCAGGGGAAGTTTCTCATGCAATCCATCTAAACAGCAACAGAAGGCGAAGGCTGGGCAGCCCCTACTGTGCTTCCTCTATGTCTCTGTCGTTCTCATCTTTGTCTGGATACAGGCTGAGAGCCAGGCAAGGGGGCTCACACTGTGGAAGCGTAAACTGTTTGTAAATGTATTCTCTCCTATCAGCAAGAGTACATTTATGCAGAAGTGAAAAAGCAAGAAGGGGTCATGCCAGGAAAGAAGCAACAATTTGTGCTTTCACAAGCTGGACATCCCTTGGTCTTCTGTGTTCTCTGTTTATTTATGTCTGTGTCTGTCTGTCTCTCTCTGTCTCTGTCTCTGTCTCTGTCTCTCTCTCTCCCTCCCTCACTCCCTCTCACTTACTCTGTGTGAACACATCTGGAATGATCACCACACTAGGAGCTATGAAAGCAAAATAAAAGTAGACAAGCTCCTCCCACCTGAAAATAAACCTCCCTTGCTAACCTGACCTGTACAGCATTTGTAGAGGGGAAACCAAGAGGCTTAATGAGGAGGAAAGCCCAGACCTCAAACAAGCCAACAGCACCGGTGGGGATACAATGTGGGTCAACCAATGTCTTTTCTGTCTGTCCCATCTTCCCTCTTCCTACTTAGAGGGTCCCTGGGACCACCCACCATACCTGCCTGAGGATGCTCTAATGTACAAAGCCCTGGGGTGGTGGCGGCAGGAAAGGCACCCTGGCTTTGGTATGGGGGAACTGACAAGATTCTGCAGTTGCTGAGGACACTGGGGCTTCTTCTTTATCTGTTCATTAGTAAGTCAGGGTCCCTCCCCTTTTAAATATATAAAAAAAACCCTTTTGAATATATAATCATTTCCCAACTTAACAAGAACCATTAAACCTCCCTCCCCTTTCCTCCTGTGGTTCAGGGATGACAGGAGAGCCTTCAAGATGGTAGAAAAGCCGGGCTTCCTTCTTTCCATCCTTCCTCCCTCCCTCCCTTCCTCTGGACACTTTAGCACTGACTCTGCAGTGCATGTCATAAGAGAGCAAAGCACTGACTGAAAGAGTAGTGGGTAGGAGGGACAGGGAGACAGCCATTGCCTTTCTGTCAGTCAGAAGAACAGGGAGACAGCCATTGCCTTCCTGTCAGGGGGACAGGGAGACAATCATAGCCTTCCTGTCGGAGGAACAGGGAGACAGCCATTGCTTTCCTATCAGGGGGACAGGGAGACAGCCATTGCCTTCCTATCAGGGGGACAGGGAGACAGCCATTGCCTTCCTATCAGGGGGACAGGGAGACAGCCATTGCCTTCCTATCAGGGGGACAGGGAGACAGCCATTGCCTTCCTGTCAGAGGGACAGGGAGATAGCCATTGCCTTCCTATCAGGGGGACAGGGAGACAGCCATTGCCTTCCTGTCAGAGGGACAGGGAGACAGCCATTGCCTTCCTGTCAGAGGGACAGGGAGACAGCCATTGCCTTCCTTGTCAGAGGGACAGGGAGACAGCCATTGCGTTCCTGTCAGGGGGACAGGGAGACAGTCATAGCCTTCCTTGTCAGGGGGACAGGGAGACAGCCATTGCCTTCCTGTCAGAGGGACAGGGAGACAGCCATTGCCTTCCTATCAGGGGGACAGGGAGACAGCCATTGCCTTCCTTGTCAGAGGGACAGGGAGACAGCCATTGCGTTCCTGTCAGGGGAACAGGGAGACAATCATAGCCTTCCTGTCAGAGGGACAGGGAGACAGCCATTGCCTTCCTGTCAGAGGAACAGGGAGACAGCCATTGCCTTCCTTGTCAGAGGGACAGGGAGACAGCCATTGCGTTCCTGTCAGGGGGACAGGGAGACAGCCATTGCCTTCCTTGTCAGAGGGACAGGGAGACAGCCATTGCCTTCCTTGTCAGAAGGACAAAGAGACAGCCATAGCCATAGCCTTCCTTGCCAGGGACTTCCTTGCAGACTGATGGGTACGGATGCATCCAGCCAATCATGGGTAAGGGTGCAGTCAGCCAAGCAGTTCTTGGAAAAAGATGCCAGGCATCTTTGCTACAGAAGTACCAGTTCCCTGCCCACACCAGGCTGAGTGAGATCATTCACCTCTTCCCTCCTCCTACCTGTCTGTGGTTCCTGCCCCAGTTTGCTTTGCTTTTCTCCTTGACCTCCCACCTCTGAAGCCAATTAATGAACCTGTGCATCACGTCCAGTACAAATGAAACCAGGAACATCAGGCAGCGTTCTTAATAACGACTGCTTTTGGTCAGAACGCTGGCTGCTTTACAGTTTCCTCTTGGAGATTTATCTCCAGAGGCCTCTGAAGAATCCATGAGCCAAAGTCTGATTCTGGATGAAGCCCGCTTGTGTTTAGCAGGCAGGGACCACACACAGATGGAGGATCTGAGCTTGTCCTATAGATGCCTATGTGTGCTTCTGTGAGCAAAGCATCATCACAACACGATGCTCTCTGACACCCTCTTTTAAGGGAATTCCCTTTAAGGGTCCATTTAAAAAAAAAACAAATCAGAAAATGACCTTGAAGAACAAATCCCCAACAAGATGGATGTGTCTAGGGACAGAATAAGCAGTGGTTGGTATACATAGTGAGAGAAGTACCCAGACCTAGAGTCTGGAGTTTCTCCCAACGTGGTAAGGCTAGGCCTTGTGAGAATGAGAGGGAGAGAAAAGAAAGGGAGACAGTGGCGACAGGAGTCCCTTGCCTACTGGGGCCACGGGACCTATGACTGTGCGTGAGACACCAAAGAGAACCAAGAAGGAATGCGGGCTCCTCTCTTACCCTACAGGTGGTCTCTCCAGGTCAGGGTGGAGGCACATGAGAGGGGCAGGGTGGGGAAGGGCTCTCTGGCGCTGCCCACGCTGTACCTGCTCTATAGATAAATACAGGACTTTAGTGGCCATGGCTGGTCCCTTGGCACTTTGTTCAAACATGAAAACATCCCCTACATTTTCTCTCTTGCTTTAAAAACAAAAGGAAATGTGACATATTCCCCCAATATCCAAATGCTGCCGTGTCAAGACAAGGTGACTCTGATAAATACTAACTAGAAGAAAACCACCCACCAAATAAATGGCCCAGGGAGACACCCTGCCTCTGTATTATGGCAAGACTATGAGGACACCAACCTCTTTGGGGGTCTCCTGGTGGCACCGGTTGCTGTTCCACCATAACTCTAGAGCAGCCACAAGGCAGGCAAGGAGGAGGCCGATGGCCAAGATGCAGAAGACCCCGGCAAAGCTGTGTAGTTTAAGGGATTTTCCCTCAGCCTGGGCACTGGAATGGCTGGTGAGGTCACAGCGGCCTGTGTGCGGCCACCACTTCTGCTTGAGCACATCCAGGTCCCCTGTGTCTTGCAGCTCCAGGATCCTGTAAGACACAATATAGGTGAGTCATAGCCATTGACTTCCTCATGTAAGCCATCGGATCCTGTCAACAGCCTGGCATGCTTACCCTGGAAGCATCACAGTAATTCTCAGAGTCAGGTTCTTCCACAGTGCCTTCTGCACCACGCACCCAGAGTGCTTCCTTCCTGAACATACAATAGTAGGTTTTCCCTCCTCACCGAACCAGTGCCAAAAGGTTCAGTGACATAGTATGTCAGGTCCCTCACACGGATTGCAGAGAAAGTTCTCAGGATAAACTTGGGGCATGCAGAAATGAACTAGGGGAACCCCCAGAACACAGATTTAGTATGTTCACAGTCATAAAAAAAAAAAGCTGTGCATAAAATTTTAACATCTGAAAGTCAAATATCCATAATCCAAGGACCTGGAATCCCAAATACTTCAAAGTCTGAAACTTTTTGCAGATCTGCATGATACCACAAATGGAAAATTCTACATTTGACCTCTTACATGTTAATAAACACAAACTTTATTTCATACACAGACTTATTTAAAACATCTCATAAGATTATACATAGACTATATGTGTATGATACATATGAACCATAAATTAATTTCATGTTTATTCTTAGGTCCTATTCCCAGTTATTCCATTACATACATGCAAGTATTTCAAATCAGGGGGAAAAAAAATCCAAACTCTTAAGCTGTTATTGTCCTGTCCATTTTGGAAAAGGGAAACCCCATTTGTCTACCCTGTCTGCCCTACTGGGACTCATGTTATCCTTCATCATTTCATTTAGGAAGATTCTGTGCCAAGAACGATGCTCAAAGCTGCTAAACTTGTAGTCTAAAGACGCACATGTCAACAATGACTGTCAGTGTGAAGACCGAAGCGGTGATGGACACAAGGAAATGAGCAGAGAAATGCCAGGGAGACACACACGCCAGGGGTTTCTAGCTGCAGCCTTAAAGAGGAGTGTGCGGAGCAGACAGCAGTGGAGGAAAGCCTGGAGGACGATGGATCATGAAGTACAATGGTGGCCCACTTGTTTCCTTGGGCAGGGTGTAGTCAACTTCTATACCTAGCAGATGTTTCTGAATCTTAGAGGCCAACCCTCTGGGAATAAATAGTCCTATTGTCTTACTTTATAGTGAAGGAAATCAAGGCACAGAGAAGTGAAATGACTTTCCAGAGGCTGGCAACCACTGAAACTGGAATAGGTGTGAATATCCTGTCTGGTACAAAGGACTCAGTGAAGCTGTGGCATGGTGAATGAGGAAGACGGAGGCATAGGATGCAGTCATAAAGCAGACACACTGAGATGCACTCTGACAGGGTGAGAGGGGGTCTGACTGCATAATGGTGGGCCAAGCCCTCATGCTGGCTTCTACCACTGCAGTGTTTTGTGTGCTCCTTCTGTAACTTAGAGCTCTACACAGTGAGAGGGCCAGGTATCACGGGTGGCTTGCAGATTCAAAATAGAAAAGCCTTTCCATCTGATGGGTAGTTATCTATGAATCTGGTCCATGCATTTAGCTCACAGGTATGTGCAGTTAACGAACTGCAGAAGCTCAGCTCGATAGTTGTATAGTCTCAGCACTGGACTTGCATCCATAGTTCTGAGGCTGGGCCCACATAACACGCAGAGGTCTGGTGTCTCCCAGGTCCTGTCTCTATCATGGGCCAGCATGGTGTAGCCTCTTATTGTCTGAGAAGGACCCAGCTCAGGACAGAGTAGACTTTGATCTCATCTGTGTTTTACTGGATGAGGGCCAAATGCTGCTACGCCTCATTGATTTGTGGTTCCCATTCTAATGAGTAGGGCTGCAGCTTTCTATGTTTGTCATGCACAAGCTTAGTAGATATCAAAACAAAAGCTACTTGTTATCAGATATTTGTCCTGTCAACGAATGTGTGAATGCATTTGCGGAATAATGAATACAAACTAAGCTGGAAGGGCCATAGCGAGAATATAAAAACATCCAGCAAGAAATCAGGGCAGTGATGACACCCAAAGGCTTAGAACATGGCCATACCTGGAAGGACATGGTCCCCGAGGTCACTGATTTACATGTGCATCTTTGTGCTTTGTGGCTGTGCTCAGAATGTCCCTGGGAACCACAGCTCTCTGCAAGGGCACAGGGGACGATGAACAGGATGCTCTCTGCAATGGCACGGTGGACGATGAACAGGACCCTACAGTATCCACCTCACTACTTTGGTCATCCAAAGCTGGCTTTGTTCACTGGCCTTGTTAAGTCTCTGGTGGCTGGGGTGAGTAGGGCGAGCTTAATGTAAGCTACAGACACTGATACACAGGGATCATCCTGTCCAGGGGACTCGCGACTGAAGTATACTGCTGACTCCTCATGAAGACATCAGACCCCTTTGTTTGTAGATACAGATGTGTCATGGATAGAGATTAATTCTAATCCAGATTCTGAACCTCTCAACCCTAGCTCTCTCATTACCAATATCTGCGATTAGATAAAGATACCCATCTCAGGGGCCATTAGCTTATAACCCGGTGAATAGTAACAGATTCTGTAAGAACTGCATAGTTGTCATGCAGCTGGGTGGCCCTACTGAGCAGCTTCTTATCAAGTCAGTCTTCGCAGGAGCTACCTCTTATTGAGAGAACACTGCAGGGAGAAATCATTTGCACTTCCTGAATCTGCCTAACTGCATGCATAGCAATGCTTCATCTGCCTGTCTTACTTCCTGAAGGCCTGAGCACTGAATCCACCTGACTTTCCCAGAGATGTAATTAGAAAGTGGCAATGCTATTCTTCAGCTCTGGGCCATTAATGATCTGGGGGTGGGGGCATGCTCTTTCTGTGACAACAGGCTGTTATCCAAAGGTCAAGTTCTGACCTGGGAGACAGTAAGGCCCTGAAAGGACCGTAGGATCTGATCTCACAGTTTCTGGGCAATATCAGGCACACTGCTTAAATCTTTCTGACTTTTCCTCCTTACAGTTGTATGCATCTTTTTACGGCACATCTTATTTCAGAAAGAGCGTGTGGCGATTTACAGGAAAACATGGGATAAAACAAAACAAACAACGAAACAAGAAAGCATGAATATAGACGCAACAGGACAAACAAGCCATGTGCACAGAGTGCCTTCAAGAACGAGGCTAAACTAATGTGCACTATAACAATCTATACTCCTTCTTAGGAGGAACCAGAGCGATAATAGCCACTTCCTGAAGCCAGTTGCTCTATTTTCCAGACAGATATAATTGCAGGTACTTTGCTTTATTCAATAGTTGTGGAGCCTGCGACACAGTAGGTGCTCAATAAATGGCTATTACGTTGCTAAACACTTATTGAATGCCCACTCTGCATGCTGTGGTCTGCAAAACTTTTTTAGCACGTAACCGCCATACCACATATACTTACGTCTACAGCCTAGCCTCTTCCAAGGCAAACAAATAGCTTGACTCCTAGTATGAAAGGAAAGGTGACCACAGAAATTCCAGATAAGCCTGGAATCTGCTAGTTATAGAGTGTAGACCCACGCTCAAATGACATGGTGTGTGGCCCCCTGATTAGCTCCCTTCATTTCTCTGAGGCACATTCAAGCTGAAGGCAGTTTACACTGGACTTGAGCCTCTTCTAGACCCGCTGACAGCAGAGAGTTAGAAATAATGACTGGAGAATTCCCCTGAAGGGCAAATACGTGTCTGTTGAAAGGAGGGAGGCTACCAGCTCATGGGGAAGCTGTGCTGTGGAGACATATAACAATATTGTAGGAGGTCAGCACAGTCCTTGGAACCCATCATCTTCTGACGAAACTATGAAGGGTAAATTTTTCTTAAAAGAAGAATAACAAGTCTGGACATTTCACTTATGTTTTTGTGACCACTGTAATGGGAAAGAGAGGCCAGAGGGTCCCAATAGAGACTTTCATAAGGACTCCATAGTCATGCAGAAAAAAAGATCTGTACAGACCTGTATCACAGCTAGCTTCCTCTCTGGTGCCCAGCTCCAACCCCAAGCTGGTTGTGGTCTACTAACCTATGAAGTCATGTAAAGAACATCTAACTACTTCTGCTGTAAGCATTGCAGCTTAGATAGAAAGGTATCCTGGCAGTTGGGAGTCAAAGAATACCACAAAGTCACACCACACAACAAATCTCACACAAGAGAATTATTGGGAAGGAAAAATCAGAAGGGTGGCTGCCTTTGCTCGGGTGAGAAACAGCAGAGAGCTGAACAGATGGAAGGATTTATATAGTGTTTCTTGGGGATAGGGTGGGATTTTTCAGGGTAAAACTTTCCAGGGTGGAGATTGGTGGGATTTCAAGTCCAGAGATTGGGCTTTTTACTCGGTAGTGTGGGGGCAGGGCCCAGCAATTATAGCGTTCTGTGGGTAGATCCTGACAGTAGGAGTTCTGCTTGCCTTCACATGCAGCAAGGCTATTGGCAGTGGAGGGGACCATTTCCACTTCCCTGCCTCATGTCTGTCTTCTCCATCTGGAGGATTTTCCACTGACATTCCCAACCTCATTGCTGTGCTGACCATTTGACAACACAGTAGAGATCCAAGCTTCCTAACTAACATCCCCTCTCTTCTTTCTCCAAAATACTGATAGTATATTGACTCATTTCTGCAGATTTACAGAAGAAAACTGAGCAGAGCTAGCTAGCTCAAGGGCCTCCAACTTCCCACTAACAGGTCCCATACATCCACGAGCACTGTCTTGAGACTCATTGTTTGGGTGTTGCTGCAACATTGGCCTTATGGGTCCCCTTACCATCTGCTCTACAGTGAGTGGTGTTTGCAGACTGATGGTCTGTGCAATCACCTTGAACCCCCCATCTAAAAAAACACACACGCATATTCTTCAGAAATGCCGTCGTGTTCTGAATTCCAAAGAGAAGCCATACCTTGAGTTTCAGCAACTGAGATATATTTCTCTGTTTTCACAGCTCCACTCCAGAGGGCGGAGCAAGGGACCTAACACGTGCTTGATGAAGTTCTGCAGAGAGCCTGAAGCCTCACTTAACTGCTCCTACTCCTTCACCAAATTTTGCAAGCATGCTACTGACTAGATAGGTTGCAAAACCTCCTTCTCGGCCTTCTCGGGTGGAGCCGAGGCTTACTGATCATGAGCAGGAGGATCCAATGGAGAATTCCAAGATAGGACAGGCAGTAGGATTTTCAGATTCAACAGTAACATGGCCCCACATCAGAGTTCAGGAGAGCTGCAAGTATAAGGCCCAGAACTCTCTCCCTTTCGCCCTGAGTTAGAGTGGAAAAGAGATGATCTTCAACAATTCTACTGTATCCATCTGGTTATTCTTCAAGTGGATAACACAATGACGTTAGAATTCATCTGTTGATCAGGCAACTAGGGGCTACCCCTAACTGAATGGACTTGTCTATGATAATGTTTCTGCCACCTCTTGTTGGTTATGATGGGCAGAGCCTTTCCCTAGAACATTCTCAGTGACTGCTATCTAATTCCTTCCATCAGTGGGATGCCCCATCACAGATATATGCAATCTGAGGGTCCAAGGCTAGATCTCTTTAGAGACAAGATAGAGTGTTTGCTAGTAAACTGGCTACTAAAAAATAGCCATTGAATTTACCTGTATCTTTCGGTTCTACCTTCCTGCTTAAAGTTGGATCATCCAGACCATAGGAACCACTATGACAAAAACCAGTGTGGGGAAAAAAAAAAAAGAGAATAGCTCTTAATAACTTCATCATGCCCAGGAGTCTAGAGCTAAGCAGGCTCAAGGGACAAACTCATACTAGCAACCACATGGGAGATGAAACATAAACACGGAGTAGACATGCTACATTGGTTTCCGATGGAGCCACCCATTCAGTTCCCCAAGGCTGTACATTTCCTGTCTCCTTAGCCCCACGGCCTCTTTCTCTAAAACGCTCTCAAGTTTCTCTAATATTAATGAGCATAAATCAGAATTAATTAACTCTAAGAAGGTGGCATAGAAACCCAGAAGCCTATGTTTTGATGTGGAGAGAGTGGGGAATACAGGAAACAAGAGGTCATCCTTCCTCCTGTCACAAACAAAGGGCCAGGTATAGATCTTGCCCCAGTAGACAGCAGCATCTCCTTCAGCCGAGAAATTGGATGCAAGTCACCAGGCCCCATCAGGTCACACGTGGCACACATGGAGACAGACATCTGCTTCTCTGACTCTCACCTTTGCATCTCCACACGGACGACTCACACTTTGAAGACACACTTTAAAAAGAGATTTCTAGGTCTCCTAGATCCTACTTGGAATTTATTTATCTGTGTGACTCCTTTGACTCCTCTGTGCCTCTGCTCTCACTACCTCCGAGAAGTCCTTCTGGGACCTATGAGATGCCCTTTTCTGCGCCTTCCCACCCCCAATACCCCAATGGACTCTGCACTGGTATCACCTACCCACATCATAGTGCCACCCACGGTATTGCCTCCCTTGAAAAGGAGCATGAACTTCCTGCTTTTTATCCCAGTACCTATGCAAGGCCCAAAAGGAAGAGTTGAGGTGCTGAGGAAGATGCGAGGACTAATGAATTATTCTGGCTCTTACGTCATAACAGGAGGTTATCCTTCCATCCCAGCTGCCAAGGTCCCAAGGATGCTGGAATTGTCTTGATGACTGTGCCTACCTCTGGGAGAAGAGGTCCCTGTAGGGGCTGCCATGCTGCAGGGCAATCCCGTAGCCCTTGCTGCTGATGCTGTTGCCGATGACAGTCACGGAGCAGTCGTCATCTGTCAGGGCTGCGTACTCCACCACGGCCACATCCCACAGAAACGCGTAGTTCCCCTTCTTGGCCTGAAAGACCCAAATCACCATGAAGTCCAGCAGAGCTATTTGGCCACAAGAGTTTGAAGCAGTGGGACATCACAATGTTTGAGTTTGAGGGGCCCCTCTAAGTGGTCCCATTCAGACTCCACAAAAAATTCTCCTGGCATTTCCTGTGGATTGTGAACACAATACCAGTCGATATCATTCACCGTAGCATGTTCACAGAGCAGGCAGCGTGGAAGAGTGGGAGGTGGGTCACAGAGACCCACTTCGCACATATGACAGTTACCCCTTGGGAGTACAGGGAGTAACGCTCAGCGGCCTAAGATTTTCAAAGCAGAACTGTCGGGGGCACATGATAGCACCACAGGGGTGGGAAAGAATCTTTTCTCTGGAGAATACAGATGTTTGAGAACTGTTATAAATCTTGTCCACTGACTTTTATTAAGAACCCAACTGCTAAATCCTGCTTACCGTGAACATGAGTATGGGTTCAGTGGCCCTGGGTAGTCATGATGGAATAGCAAGCAAGAGAACATGTTAGGGGTTTGCCATGAATGGTAGGAACCCATTAAGGACAGGGCCCTGATGGTTACAGTAACATGCAATGCTTCTGCCACTTGCCTTTATCTGCATTTATGTGAGGATAAGCATATGCACAAATGCATGCATTCACACAACACACACACACACACACACACACACACACATGCATGTCTTCTCCGTTTTTGTTGGTGGGAGCGGGAAGTTGAAACAGGATTTTACTATGTTTCCTAGGCTGGCTTTAAATTTGATCTTCCTGCTCTAGTCTCAGAGTGTTGGGATTGTAGGCATGGAAAACTGTCCAGCATGCTCACATATATCTGTGCTGTGGTGTGTGTGCACATGTGCATCACTCATACACAGGAGGCTTCATGCATCAGTACTTTCAAACAATGTGATGGTTGTAGATTATTGGGGATCTATCTGCATCCACAGCTGAAGTTCTACCCCTCAAACCCTTCCACAGCAGATACTCAGTTCTATCTTGAGCTGTGATTCTAACTTTGACTAGAATTTGGGCACCCAGAAAGACTGTGAACAGCTTTTCTTCTTCAAAGGAGACTTTGTCGCTTGGCTTTCTTAAAATACTGCATACATTCTCAGTGTATCAAAGTGCCTAGTTTCCATTTCTCTGTGGAGCACACAGATGCTTCTTGCCCTGTCGCCCTCCCCCACTATGGCTCACACCGGATGTTATAAAGCATAGGTATAGGATTGGTAATGGGGCTGGAGCACCACAAACAAAATTAAACCAAGTGGCAAGCTGTAGGCTTCTTGGCACTGACCAGAGCATTGTTCCAGTTTCTGCTTTAGTTGGCTTTTCATTTCCCCTAAGCTTCCTCAATAAGTATATGGATGCTGAGGCAAAAATCAGTCTTGTACTGCTTTCTATTTTTCTTTTTCTTTTGGGTGGAGGAGTTTAGGTATTGAGAAAATATCTTATTATATAGCTCAGATGGGTCTTGAACCCATGATCATTCTTTCTCAACTTCCAAAGTAGTAGGATTACAAGAATACAATATCACACTTAGCAAGATATTTCTTTTTTCAAGACCCTAAATGCCCATGACCTAAGATGTCTTATTTCCCATCAGATTCTTTCCATCACAAATATTTGTGGGTAGAATGTGACCTTTTGGATCAGGAATTGGCTTCCTGCAGCCTTTCACACAATCTTGTAAGAAACGACACACACCTATGCCACCTATTACCTTTCTCCAGGGGAAGCAATTCAAATATTACACCAAGGCCTCATTCCTTGGTCAATCCAATCCCAGAAGTCTTAAAAGACTTTGACCCAGGTTGCAAAACTGCACACATCTCTCTCCCTCCACAAAGGAAGATAACAGACTTTGTAATTTTTTTTCCATTGGCAAACAAGTTTTTCTATGAAAAGATATAAATTTTCAACCTCTTAGTACCAAGTTTATCCACAAAATGTTGACTTATGACCTAATATTTGGTTTTAGTTAGACTAGGAAACATTTCACATCCATGCTCGCAATTCAACATGACAATCAGACACGGCTATTTGTACGATTTCCAAAGGGCATGTCATGTTGAAGGAAGAATTAAGATCAGCCTCCTTTCTAACTCTCAAGTGATATTTCAAGATAAAAAAAAAAAGAAAGAAAGAAGCTGGCTCAGGCCAACTGGAAACTGACTCTAGAAAAGCCCTTGTGGGCATTCCGAGGGGGCATCTGGAATTCTTTGGGTCACAAATTCATGAGCATGAAGTGTGTGTAGACTCACAGAAAGGCAAGCACTGTGGGAAAAGCCTGCATTTACAGCCCTGTTGGACTAAGCCGGGCAGGGCACAGCATCTGAAAACATGATGGCAATGCCCCTGCCTCCACTCCACAAGTAAGCGGTTGCTTTCTTGAGCAGATGAGTGATCCCAGAAACTCAATGTCCCTATTTGCAAACACGGACTAAATTAGTCAGGGTCTTTCTTATTTGCTCAAGGAAACATGCGGTTAGATTCCTGATCTACATGACAGTACCACAGCATAGGGACTAGTAAAAGTCTGTGTAACAGGACCCAACTGCAAAGGGGTAGGCCAGAGTCTGGATCTCTCTGTACAACATATTTTTAACATAATTTTAGCTAAAAAAAAAAAAATCCCGTTTCCTCAGTACCCCCAGAATTCCACGGCGCACTCCCTCAGTCTCATGCTGAGTAAAATGTAGTAGCGAAATCTCCCCGTAAGAAGAACTTTTTGTGTGCAGATGTCTCCATAATCTTTCTGGCATATCACCAAGGCTGTATGAGATCATCATTCCATCATCAATGCAACTGTGCACTGTGAACATTTCAGATATAACTGAAAAATGTCAAAAGGGCTGGAGAGATGAGTCAGCCAGTAAAACATTGGCTGTGCAAGCATGAGGACCTGAGTTCAGATCCCTAGCTCTCGTGGAAAATGCTGAAGACAACATCATGAGCCTACGATCCCACAGCTAGGGAAATAGAGAGAGGGTTCCTCATTCCTTGCTGACCAGCGTGTCTAGCCCCATTGGTGAGTTCCAGGTCTTGGTGAAAGAGATTCGCTTAAAAGTAATATGGAGAGCAATTGAAAAAGACACCTGGTGATAAAGTCTAGCTGCTGAACACACACATCCATACTTATACATGTACGCATGTCAAGGCATTCATACCAATCATAGCTCTGTAGCCTTCATGCAAGCCCCACTCTTCATCTTTGTAGAATGATTTCCTCCTTTGATTTAAAAAGTCCAGGATGTAGTTACTGTAGGGTCGGAATAAATTTTCTACACACATCCTAATAACTATGAATCTACCTCCTTATTTGATACTGCGTGTATACAAGGTTGGCTTGACCATATGGGAGACACCTACTGTTTTAAGTTTCTGAACTCCAGAAGAGCCAAGACTCTTCTCTTTCTCCTGTCCCCCTGTCACAACCTCCTTTCTCCTCTCTCTCTCTCTCTCTCTCTCTCTCTCTCTCTCTCTCGTGTGTTTGGTTTGACTGTAAAATATCCCCCACTGGCATGTGTTTTAGGCATTTATTTCTTAGCTAGTGAGGCTGTTTTCGGATACTTTGGAACTTTTGCAAAGTGGGGTCCTGATGGATGCTTAAGTTACCAGCAGAAAGCCTTACCCAGGAACTGGTTCCTGCCTTACTCTTCACATCCTGGCCCATGGCGATGTGAAGGGCCACTGCCACATGCCTATACTAATGAGCAGAGGTCTGGCACTCTTCCCCAGCTCACTGAACCAAGTCCTCTGAAACCAAGAGCTAAAATAGTGTCCCTCCTTAAGGTGCCTGAGCCAGACACTATGGTCCACAGCAGTGTGAAGGTAATTTATAATCCAAGCCAGTGTTTCTTTCCACTCTGCTCCCTCATTCAGCTTACCCCTGTTACTTTAGGACAATATATCTACACTCTTTCTCCATTCTCCATGCCTGGAGCTCAAATCAGAAAGCTTTCACTCAAGGATACAGTGTTAATTACTTAAATACAGTGACTTCTTTCAATAAGAGATAGTTTTAGACTCTTGAGAAGACTGAAGAGAAATAGGAATGTAGCCTGTTTTCAGCTAGGCAACATTCACATAAAAGATGAACCAAGCTACCTCCCGGCAGTATCCCAGAGTCCCGACCCTAAATGTCCCAATGGATCTTTGAATTCACTATTTTTACAACTTCCTATTTTTACTTCCTTTTGCCTGTGTCTTTCAGTATGGTCCTTTTCCTGCTTCCCAGGGGGCTGTGGTGAGTTAGGGAAGGCAGTGTGTGCAACAGGCATGACAGGCTGTGGGTGGCTTAGAAAGAGAGTGTTGACATTACTTCATAATGCCTAAACGATCAAAGTGATACTACAGCCTTTTGTTCTACTATTAAAACAACACCAATCCAAACCACTTATTTTGTCCTTTCACTGGATTGAATTACCTTTATCTGGCAGTCCATTTGTATTATCAAATGTATTCTGAATTTTTAATCGCAGATTTACATGTATCATTCAGTTACTGAAAAGCTTGGCGGCAGACAAAGGCTGTCCATGCAGTCTTAATGTTCTTCTAGCCCCTGCCTCTACGCATAGCTTAGATGGGCATACATAGCCAGTTCCCCAGTTTCTTGTGACCCCAGAAAGCTCCTTAGGGTTAGCTCTGGGGTCCTGGGACACAAGTCTAAGCTTCTTTAAGATGCTGGAGAAGGTATCAGTAGATTTTTTTTTTTTAAAGACGAGATGGCAATATTAATATTGCCTTGAAATACAATTCAAACGGCTCTACAGTATGATTTTTAATTAATAATGACCAATATCAGTGGAATTATTGCAAAAATGGGATTATCTTTCATGGTTACTAGCACCAGAAAATGATAGCACTTTGGAAAGTAATGCAGCATTATATAATGTGGACAGTTAACGTCATTGTATCTTTTATCCTGGCAAATTGGAATTTAACCTAAAAAGTAACTCAGTATTCAGAACTGGCACTAAAACAAACATGTGAC